GTTTCCCACCAGGACTCATTCCCTAAGTCAGGTGTTTCATCCCTTCCAAGATAATGAAAAGTGAGGTTCTGACAGAGCATGAAGGACATGGAGAACTGCCAAGACCGTCACACCTTTTGGCAATGTAAATGTTCACAGAAGTCTTTATCAAGTATCATGTACTACAATACAGATAGGAAAACGAAATGAGAAACATGAAGAAACATCAGTATATATATTTTTTTACCTAGCCCATGTATTATAATAAAATTTTAGTCTTGCTAAAAGAAAAATCAGTTTTTGGATGACTGGGTCCCAAGCTTTTTGCTTTTCCTTCTCTTCTTCCACCTTATCTTTTTATTTGCTTTTAATCTTTAAGAATGAACATATTTTATTTTTTAAAAAATTATTTTATAACTGGAAGTGATGTTTTCTTTTATAAGGGAAATAAGTAACCTTTATTTGGGGCGGGGAGAGAGATTTCTTATTTCATTTAAAACAGCATCGGAAATTCCCACCTTAAAAAAGAAGTCTGATGATCGCTTTTGTAATATTGGAAAATAAACCAACTTTATTTGAATCAGTCAATACCAATAAAGACTGGGAAAAAATTTATAACCGGTTGAGATTCATGAGGAAAACACTCAGCGATATCTTCATTAAACGGCATTTTACATTTATTAAGGCTTGAAAGCAAGTCCTGTTATTTTATCACCACAGTTAAAGGTCTTGAGAAAATCAAGTCACCATCACTTGGAGTGTCTTTATAAAATGAAATGTTTGTTCTTTCATAAAGGCCAGGCATCTTTTGCTAAATTAGTAACTCCCTGCTTGTAAAATGGGACAACCAGGTGGTCAGGAAAGTCAGACAAATTCAAACATCAGCTGGATAGTTTGTATTTTAAATACGTGTATAGTCAATATTGTGAAATCTGTAGCTGTACATAAAATACCTTAGATAATTGAATCCTTAAAACTATGTTTTGCCATAAAACTGGTTGCTTTTATAGAAACACAGATTAGCCCAAACCCAATAATGAGGCAATCATTTATTTTATGTTTGATTGGGGAGGGGAACATTGGATCGATTTCCTTAAGTGACATTAAATAAAATTACGCACACTTTAGATTATACCTAATTATGAAATAAAAGTATCCTGAAACTAAGCTGGGAGAAGAATATTGACAAAGGGAGAGAAACATGCATTCACAAGGAGGGTGCATGTTGATGTTTGCTTTGAATGCTAAGGAGCAATGAATAGGAGACAATAGGCCTGTGTGCAAAAGGGCCTAAAGCTAGTGATGTGACCTAGTCAGTTCTCCTGACATCAGAACCAGGATGCTTTATGTTCACCTTTCTTTCTCTAATGCTTAAGATTCTTTTTAATGGCATATGCAAAAATAAGGAAGTGATTTCTTGGGAATCATTGACTTAATTTTAACCATAAGTTAATGCTTCATCTTTCCGAGGAGAGAGATACCATCATTTGATTTGCTCTGCTATTGAAATGGCTCCAGGCCAATGGGGATAGGGTGGAGACACACAAATATCTACTAGATATCTGCTGTCTCTAGACCAATTTAATTTTCGACGCAGACTCTCACTGGTTTTTTAATGATAAAAAACTCATGCTAGATAGACCTTCGCCTTCCTGACTCTGCCTCCCTTTTAATTCTATTTGTTCAGACCTTGCTAATTCCTCAGACTCAGATCTTCTGGTATGATCTGATTCCATTCTAGGTATGATCCATTTTGTGACAATTCTGAGATGCTTGGTATTATCTGTCTGCAAGTGGCTAGTGGGCACAGGTGCTATGAAGAGCTTCTGTTGCTTCATTTGACAAACACTAGAAAACTTGACCTTTTTCTAATGAAAAGTTCAAGATCCTCACTGGCCCCACCCACACAAGAGGTGAACACTAAGGACTGTGCCATTTCCTTGGAAACTGAAACATGTCTGAGATCTCATGGACAAATAAGCTGAGTGTGTTTTTCACTTTCTGGTTCATTAGTTTTTTGCCAGGTACCTGTATCACTTGTTTAAGACTAGATCTTCATATTCATGCCTGTGATTCTGAATTGTTAGGCATTGGACTCCCTTTGTCAGGAGATGAAGGCACATAATAGAAGAAACTATGCTCTAGATCAGTCAAGATTTTACTTACCCAGCTCATCTTTTATAGTTATTAGTCTCATCCAGCTTCTCTCTGGGACAACCTGAGAGGTAGGCAGTACTGAATAGATGGGTAAATTCAACAACCGTTCTGAGTTTGACTCTTATTTCTGCCTCTGCCTCGCACTATGCTATCTAACAACAACAACAACAACAACAGAAATAGTCAAAGGAGAAAAATAAATCTAAAATAAAATAGGATCTCAACTCAAATGAATCCCCTTTCTGAGCCACTGAAATGCTTTCTGAGGGATCAGTATTCATTCAAGACCAATGACAACTGTTACCTCCCATCTTAAAACTCCGAAGTGTGGAGTCAAACTGCAAACCTTAAATATTCCCTGAGTTGGTTCTGGGGACACCTAAGAACCTAACCACACTGTTGCTGGGAGAGGATTTGCTGTGTGCATGACAAGGTTATGGCCAAAGCCCCAGGAGACTGAAGGATCTCGAGCAAAAACTTTTTTTGAAAAAAAATAATCAGAAAAGAATATTATTATTATATAAAAATACTGCGATTAATCTGGTTAGAAGACAATAAAGCTCTAAGTCAATAGTTGCATTATAATAATCTCCTATTGAAATAAAAAGATATTTATGAATGAAGTATCCAGAAGTGCCTTCCATCTCTAACACCTGTCCTTCTCAAATGGTTATAATTGATCATATAACTGCCCCCACCAGTGTTCATTAATATTATTATTTATGTAAAACTAAGTCAATCACAGAAGGAACATCGAGTAATAATCAATATTGATTTGGTTTGGCTTGTTTGTTTTTAAAGACTGCTTTTAAGGACTCGCCAGTTGTTGAATTCTGAGTATCAGATCAGGCAGGGTTGCTCGCGTCTGCCACCTACTCAAGAGGAGCGAGTCCACCTGCGTGTCCTGTCTTCTCTGTTGCACTGGCTGTGGTACATGGATATGTTTCAAGAACGGTGCCACTGTGGGTCTCAGGAAAGTAAACTGCCTCTTAGGTCATCCTGCCTGTGCTGTGAAGGTTAGGGTCGGATTTCCCAGGGTAACAGGATTTCACACTAATTAGAAGGCCTTGGGATCATTCAAGCTTTCATCTCCCAGGAGGCCAGTTTGAGGCTTTTCCTTACACTAAAAAGGACTATTTTCTCACCAGGTCTCCTTTTTAAACACCTCCAGGGACAAAGTTTCCAGGGAGTCCTGGAAAGGTTCTTTTAGAGATGGAAATAAATCAATTCATTCTGCCTTTTCAAAGCTCTCAGGCTTATAAAATGTCCTACTGAGAAATTTCCTCTCTTCAGTGGGATAAAAGAGACCCCCTACTTCCTCTCCTCTGCTCTGATCAATGGGTCACTTTTTTCTTCAGAGATCCCTGGAGGCAGGTAGGTCTGGGATTGCTTGGGTTAGAATTTGTTGATGTTTCCATGGAAAGGACCCATGCTATCCTGCCCTCCCTGAGCAATGAGCCAAGTTCTGGGGCTTTCCGGCACTTGGAACCTCGCTCTCCACCATCAGGCCACATAGAAGGGAGGATTGTTGAAGGGGAGTGTCTACGGCCAGTGGCTTTCCTCACAGGGCGTTCACTGGGAGAGGGAGCTGATGACGAGTTCATTTCTCTTAATTTCCTCTGCACAGGTCCTGATGCTCAAGCAGGGTAAGCTTTTGAGGAGGTGAAACTCAAAGAGAATGATTAAGGAGCACAAAATTAGCTAAAAAAAAAAAAAGTTCCTTTTTTTTCATCTGGTAGTTGAATCAGATGGTAGGAACATTAACGCAGATGGGCATATATTTTTCCTTTAGTTCAAACCCCATGGTTTCCCAGTCAGAAAGCCTCATGGACTTTCTTCCTAAGGTGATCCACGATCATGCCACCTCCTATGTCTATCTCTCACCCATCAGAGGCTGCAGCTGAAATCAGCCGGGAGCGGCTGCCTGAGAACACCCAACTAGCAGACCTGTATCCAGGAACAACTTGAAGAGACTGGAAAGTCATTTTTGGCCAATTTTGCTATAAGGTTGGTAGTCACATAACATAACCAGTTCAAGACTAAATTAGATCATGAGAGAGAAGACCTGTCTAAAATATTTCCAAGGAGCATTCAGCATCATAAAGAATTCAAACCCAGCTATATAATATCCAAAAAAACAACTACCCCTATGCAAGCAAACCCCGTGGCTGGTAGACCCCTGTGGGCCTTTTGGCATCTACACTGCTCCCTGATCCTCTCCTTCCCAGTTACCCCTGTTTGAAATTGCATGCCAATTTCCTTTCCCGGCAAGGCCTGACAGCATAAGAATGGAGATCAGTGTCGGCCAGGGGCATGATAGCATCGTAACATTCACAACACTGTAGCAAACTGAGAATGAGTCTGAAGCGGTTTTTCAATATGGCCTTCAGTGACATTGTGACAGGAGTGTCAGAAAGTAGTGAGTGACTCAAGGTGTGTCTGCCAGATGCCAAAATCCACAGCTTGCTCCGTCCTTCTCCATTCACTCTGTCTCCCCTAAGAGGAGTGGATCTCTTTCTAATAAGATCTAAGATGGCATTTGTCCTTGGTCTTGGAGTCAATGACAAAGAGGAGGGTGGAAGAGGACACAGTGTTGCATGTTCTAATGCATGTGAGGAGATATTCTGATATTGGCATAAGGGGCCAGTGACAATCCTGTACATGGGTTCTCCAACACTGACCTCAAATACACTGAACCCAGACCAGGCCCAAAGGCTGAGAGCTTGACATTTCTAGCATTTCCGTTTGCAGATTCCCGTGTGATCAGACGGGATTGGCGCTGACTTTCACAAAAGAGAGCAGGCTGAAGTTCTCATAATACCAGCAAGATGCAGCCTGGTTAAAAAAAAAAAAAAAAAGGCGATTCTCGAGGCAATGCGGAAAGAGGAGTCTGTGAAGCTGGAGTCCTTTGGGAGAAGCAGAGTTCTGCAGCAGGGATGGAGCAAGGCGGCTGTGCTCAGGATCGGCTGAGGCGCTTGGCAACATCTGCGTAGGCCAGCTCAATCTCCGAGTCAGCTGCACAGGTGTTGGTGAATTCATCCCGGGCATAGGCGTTCTTGAGATACCGCCACAGGCCTGTCATCTCAGCTGGGAAATTGTAGTTGCGGTATTTCCTGGACACAATCTACAACAGAGATGGTAGGACAGAGATGGAGTGAAGGCATGAAACAAATCACTGAGAAGGTGTTAGTGGCGTGACCGATGTGTGCGTACACAGCAGGATAACCTTTCATGCAGCGCAACGGGCCAGCAACGAAGTGTATGTAATTCGGGGGACAGTCCTGCCTTCTTTTTATTTTATTTTGTTTTGTATTATTTTATTTTATATTTCTTAAGTAAATAAAATTTGCCCTATGCCCTAGTGATCCTGCTTCTAGAGATTTTTCCTCAGGAAATAATCATAGATGTACATGAAGATTTAGCTACACCTATGTGATCACAGGACTATCTAGAACAGCAAAAAATGGTACACGACACACATGTCCAGCAACACATGAATGGATAAATACATTATCCTACATAAGCACAATAGTATCCTAGAGAGCCATTAAAAATGATACTGCATAGGAAATTCCAGTGATCTGGAAAACTCTTCAAGATAGATCATTTGAGTTTCAAGTGCAGTATAACACATTTGGAGAAATACATATGATGACTAGAGGTATACATACCAATGTATTATCAGTAGTTACATCTAACTGATAGAATTATAAACATTTTTTTCTATTTCCCCTCATCCACTTTGTTTTGCCTAAGCATCCTTATTTATAGAAGGGAATACAAACATTAAAAAGTAAGCTAGATGTTGGAATGAATATGTAGGTACAGAGTATGATGGGGAGTGAACAAAGAATGATTTCTGTTCTCTCCATAGTTAGCCACACTTGAGGGCTGTGGACTTGAGTGTTCTGGGGGAAGTGATGTTTGCATTGAGAGAAGAGGTAGCATAGTAGTTAAAAAGCATAGGCTCTGGATCCCCGCTGACCAGATCTGCAGTCCTGACTCTACTACTTAACAGCTGTGTGACCTTGGACTAGTTACTTAACCACTCTGAGCCCCAATTTCTTTATCTCTAAAATATTAGGAGCTTTCTTGGAGTAATAAGTTAACACATAAATGTTTAGAGGGCTGGCTGGCTCATATTCAATGCTCAAGAAATATTACCTATTATTATAATTCATTGAGATCCGCCCTTTGCCCATTTGCATGCATTCTTTCATAGGTAGGGGCAAGCTGGTCTCTTTCATAAGGTCTCAATAGCCTGGGAGGGATTCACATAGACATGTGACCTGTGTAGTCACATGGGCCTCACACTCAGAAGGGCCCTGCCCTTGGTTTAATGTTCTGCTGTCAATATCTGGAAATTCTGAATAATTTTTTTTTTTTTTTTTAACAGAAGCCCCTTTATTTTCACTGTGCACTGGAACCTGCACATTAGCTGGTCCTTCCTCCAGCCTGCGGGTTGGGGATAGCCATGAGTAGCCTCTCTCTATTAAAGTGCTGACTTCTGACTTCTTCCCTCGCTTTCCACTGGCCCTGGGATCCTTCCACTGAGAGAACCCCTAGATCAGCCACTTTGGGCTTTCATCCGCATTTCGGTGCAGTGATGTGCGGGGTTCCCTGGAAAGTTTGCTGAGTGAAGGACAATGACGACCTATTGCATGAAAAGCTCAGTCTCATAGTTATGATCACATTCCCAAGAAGGATACATTTCTCCGCTCCATTTTCCTACATCAGTTTTGAACTTTAATTACAACACTAAGGTCTATTCTATTCCGAATCACAGTTACTGTTTTAGTGTCCTCTCTCGCTCGCTTCCCTATTCGTGAGCAGTATAAGAACAGGAACCACAGTTTCTTCATTTCTGTACCCTCGATAATCTCCATAATGCTCTCACTAAGATAGCAAACATTTATTTACTATGTGCTCTGCTCCAGGCCCTGCTTTAAGTACTTTGCAAGCTCCTTAAATCTCTAACTCTATAAGGAAGAGTGTGTTATAGTCCCATTTTACAGATGAGTAAAGTAAGGTTACATAAGTAGGGATTCGATAAACAGTTTTGTTTAATCCTTACCATTCTCAGTTATCCTAATAGCAGACAAAGTGCATTTAGTGTTAAATGTAATAAAATTACTTAATTTTAAGAACTGAATTTCCTTAGTAATGAATAAACTGAAGCCACAAAAGATTTAGCGGCTTGCACAATGTTATACAGGAAAATAATTAATTCAACCAATATTTTTGAGTAATCACTAATATTTATTATAGTCTCTGCTTTCTAATCCCAGTTCTCTCTACTTTGCCACTCAGGCCTATGTAAATGATAAAGAAACAGCTCTGCTCAGAATGTCTCCTGTGCCAGTTTTTCAGCTAATGTTGATTATCTTCAAACCTACCCTTGTATTTGCTTCTCTGTGACCCTTGGATTCAGACTGCACAAATACCTCTGCTTTGCCAGCTACTCCCTGTCAGGCTCTACCAAGACGGGCCACTAGAGAGAGCCTGCAGACTGGAGGAGGTAGAAGGGTCGTGACTCTTCTTGTTGGCTTTCTGTCTCCATCAGAGTCTTTTTCACTCTAGTGTCAGCCACTGAATCCCGTCTGCTGTTTTGTCAAAACTTGCAGAAACAGTGTCATCACACCAGTTCAGAAAGGCCAGTACACAACAGTGACCTTGCTGCAGAGGTTGGGTCCCAAATCCATGGGACATCCTCTGAACTCAGCCCCCAGCATCAGCTAAGCAGAGCCCCACCTCAGAGGTCCAAGGTTTAGCTCTGTGGGGCCCCTCATCTGAGTTTCTGATGTTTTAATAACTCCAACCCCTCCCTTTTACCAACCCCCCCACCATCCACCCTGAAGGTAGTAGCTGCCTCTTGAAGGTGGAACCTCTTGGCACATTTTGTCTTCTTAGTTCCTCAGTACTTAGTACTTCTTTATATTAGGTTTGGTGTGGTCATCAAAGAAGGCAGTCCTTCAATGTTCTGTCCACTTTAGGTGTGGCTAATAAGCAAAGGTGATGGAATCAGAGTCTTTGGACTGAGCGCTCTCCAAGAGCAAATGCTGAGGCCAGCACCCCCTGCCAGTTCTTGGTTTCCACCTGTTCACCGTAAGACGAGGGCCCCATGAGTTTGCCCAAGAGCCTTTAGAAGAGGCTGTCTTGGCTAACAAGCAAATCCATGCAGGAGTTGTGGGTTACAAACTGAATAATAGAGCAGCCTTCGGTCTCTCCATGCTGGAATTTATTTTTAAGTTTTTAAAGGCTATATATGAGCTCAAAAACAGCAGAAATTCCATTTATAAATATATATATATATATTTGTGTTTATATTTATATCTCCCTTCCTGTTTGCCGCAGGAGCTAAACAGATCACCGTGCCAGGCAAGATTCCAGTGGAGGCTACGCAAGGCCTGCCATGTCCCCCCTGCCCGGATTTGCACGCCTGCTTTAGTCTCAAAACTGTCTGTTTCCTCATGTGTTGGCTGGACTTGGGGAGATGAGAACTAAAAGGGAGCCAGGCAATGAAAGTTCAAACCAGGTACTCAGCGAGCCAAACCAGGCACTCTTGGGCCAAAGCAACACAGCTTCCATGGATGAAGATGAAACTGAAAGAGAGCCAGGGGGAATAAGGGAGGAAGAGAGGAAGAGAGGGGGTGGGGAGGAGAGAGAGAGAGAGAGAGAGAGAGAGAGAGAGAGAGAGAGAGAAAGAGAGAGAAAGTGGACAGAATACGCACAGGAATGAGAGGGTGAGGATTCGCACAGAAAGTTCTGATGTTTGCAGGCACTTCCATGCTCATGTTCTGAATTTGTACTTTCATATGAAAACAGTTAGCTCCCACAGCCCAGATTAAGTTTTGGCGTTGGAAACCAAACTGGAGGCCTGACTTGGCTCCTCCTTCACTCTTTCTGCACTGAAGAGGTTTGCCAGGTCTCTGGGACCTGATAAGCTGCATCAGCAGAAATCCAAGGAAACAGGAGGCAAGGCCCAGCCTTTGTCCCCTCACCGGCCATCCTCCCTCTGATCCCCGCTTCTCCCAATGAACAACTCACTGAACTTCATCCAAGGACATGGGCTAGGAGGAACTGGAGAAATTGTAGGATGAGGCACAAGGCCTGGGAGATTCATTTGTTTACCTTATTCGACAAGCAATTCTCGAGTGGGTACTCAAGACATATTTGAGTAAGAGAGAAGAAATGAGGGAAGGAAGAGAGGGAAAAGAAACAAGGAGGAATATAATCCACCTCTCTTCTTTTAGGCATGAGAGAAATGAATTCCAAGTAGAATAAATGACCTGCGCCAGCTCATGCTGCTAGTTGGTAGCAGACATAGGACTAGAATTGGGTCTCCCGACTTCTAGAATGGTGGGCTTTCCATTACATCACTTTGACACGGTGTGATTGAACTGGAATCATGCTGTCCTTAATAGTGCCACTAGCGCCTCAGAAAGAGAGAATAAAGATGTTTCGGAAGTGGAGTGGGATATGCACTAATTAATAACTTCAACGAGATATAGCAGCTTAGATGCACCTACAGTTGACCATTGGCTTGGCCCCAAATCCAAAGTGTATCCATGTTAATAAGTTGTATTTGCCCAGCCCATCAGCACCGGCATACATGATGCTCTCTCAGTCTCCAGCTCAGACCAAGCCCACGGGAACACCAGTGCACGCCCAGATGTGTGATTTCAACTCAAGCTTGTGTGTGCTGTGATTAGAAGGGAGCTGGCGTGTCTAGCCTGGACTTCAGCGGCCCCAAATCCAAAGTGTATCCATGTTAATAAGTTGTATTTGCCCAGCCCATCAGCACCCGCATACATGATGCTCTCCCAGTCTCCAGCTCAGACCAAGCCCACGGGAACACCAGTGCACGCCCAGATGTGTGATTTCAACTCAAGCTTGTGTGTGCTGTGATTAGAAGGGAGCTGGCGTGTCTAGCCCGGATTTCAGCAAAACAAACAACAAATAAACAAACAAACAAACAAACAAAAAACAACCACAAAAAGAAAACGATAGGCAGATAATCAGCTGATAAACGATTAAATCTGATTCTTCTCAGTGAAGGATAGAAAGAAACTGGGTATCATAAAGACATAACTAGGTGATAAAATGACTAATCAATGACTATTTATTAAAAGGCCACTGTATATTCACCATCATGCTTAGAGAAGGCCCTATCATCACAGAGCTTATTCTCTGACTGAGACAGTAAAACATAAAAACATGTACAATTTGCAAACTGTCTAGCTCTATAATCCCTTTATATTTTATTCTAGGCTGGTGAGGGTCAGGGGAAAGGATGTGAGAAGAAGTGTTAGTTTAGACAACTTTGGGGGCACAACTGGTGTCTTCAAATGAGATGAAAGGGAGCAGCCCTGTCTGGTGATGTTCCAAAGAACACGTAGCAGCGAGGCAGTTTGGACGGCTATTTTAATAATCAGAGCTGTCAGTGTGGTAGGGCTGGCTCGTGAGGCAGAAGGCTCTTCATCGTCAGAAACGTGCAGTCGCAGCTGCATAGAACCCTGTCACGAACAGAAAGTGGCCCAGTTTGGGCTGGGAGGTTGTTTTGGATGACCTCTGAATTCTCTTCTTTCCAACTTGCAGATCCCAAGATTCATACAAGAGAGGATTACACTGCCTGTCAAAGATGGTCAGAAAGTACAACGATAGTAAACAAAATGATGTCACTTCTTGCAGCCTCCATCTCTTCAACTGATAGATGAGGAAGATGATGCCTGCCTGCCCTAGGGAGTTGCTCGAGGGAATGAGAAGGTGGGTCAGTGCACAAAGAAAACATGCATATGAGGTCACATTTAATAGAGATGTGGGGGTATGGCCAGTGAAAACCTATGAAGAAGAAACGAGAAAGAGGCCTTTGGAGTAACAGGACTATATATAACTATATATGATATGACAACAGCAACTACTATATAATGAGCACTTACAATATGCCAGGCACTTATATGCCACATTACTCTTCCAACGACCTTAGAAAAAAAACAATACATTTTACAGGTGAAAACTGAACCTCAGAGACACTAGGGCCAGTATGCAGTGGAGGCTGACTTCAGTTACCTATTCAGGTGACTTCAGAGCCCAGGCTCTCAACCAGCCAATGGCGCTGCCCTCGACTTAATCCCATAGGTGACCCCAGCCTAATATGGAGCTGGATCTGAGGAGCACTTGCAGGTAGAGGTCTCTTACCTGGACCACATGGAGCTTGGGCAATAGATTGCAGTCGGCCAAGGTCAGCTCGTCCCCATCCAGGAACTTGCGTCGGGACCGCTTGTCATCGTCCCCGCGAGTGTTGGCGTCGATCTCCTCTGGCAGAGGGGTGTTCAGGTAGTCATCCAGTTCCTTCAGAGCCTTGGTCAGGCCTCTCTCAAGGGCTGGCAAGAAACAGCAAAAGAAGTATCTTTAGTCAAACCTGCCACTAGATACAGCCACAGTCTTCAGAGTAGAATAGCTTATCCTGAACCTCTCCTCACGCTGCCAGCTCCCCACACACTGCGGAATACCTGGCAGCCATGAACACAGCACAGTAGAAGAGTATGAAACAGCCTGAAAGAACAAGGCTTAACCCAACAATAGGCAAAAGCTAATCTTTTTTGGGGACATGGGAGGCAGGAATATAGAGATGCAACCATGAGGATATATATCAAAGCTTAGTGCTTATCCCCAGAAGATTCAATAACAATAGGTAAGTTTCATTTCCTTTTTTGTTTACGTATATTTTTCCAATAATCTACAGTTAACCCACATAATAATTTTGTATAAAGAAAAAGCTATTAAATAAGTAAATACCAACTATATAGCAGTTCTAGGGCAGAGAGCTGCACCAGATTTTGCGGAAGCGTTAACTGTGCCTAACCCAACCAGAGAAGGGTGGGAACAGGCTTCCAGGAGAGCAAGACATAGGAAAGTGAGAGAGGCCATGTCTGGTGCTGCCCCCAGAGAACCAGTGGGCATCAGGGAGGCCTACTTGAGTTTAATCTAGAGAAGGTTGTTCTAAAAATCAGTGCTCTCTAAAAATGGAAGGGCCAGTGCACCAGGCAGTAGGCTCCACCAGCAATTTGCAATCACAGATTGCGTGGACACCTGTCATGGATACAGCTAAAAAACAAAAAAACAAAAAAAACATTCAAAGGAAGATAATATGACTGAAGACTATATAAATAATTCATTTAGACACAAGAGCAGAACGAAATACTCAAAAGAACAACTCCAGGATGTCGCTATCCCTGAGTCATTCTCCCCAGCATTTCATAGACAAACACAAGAGCAGAACGAAATACTCAAAAGAACAACTTCAGGATGTCGCTATCCCTGAGTCATTCTCCCCAGTATTTCATAGACCAACTCTGTCACAAAACACCGCCACAGGAACCGTCCACCTGAGCTCGAGGACGGAGGTGGAGGAGATGGTTGGCTGCGTCATTCATTAGCCACTGCATCTGTGTCATCAGTCCCATCCCTTGGTGTATAGCGTGGCACCGAGATCATAGGAATCATTAATATCAATCCTGATATTAATTCCAGCAGGAAAAAAAAAAAAAAAAGGGAGATGCTGCCTCTGGAGGAAGAGCCCAGTGGACTGTGTGCTCTTGTTCAGATTTTCCCAAATGTGCTTTCTGTTAGCCACTCCTCACACAATCCACATTTGTCTTTTCATAGAAGGCCTTTTGTTTGAGACAATGAAATGACACCAGCCCAAGATAAATCAATTGAATGCTTACTGGAATGTTTGAAAACAGACTGGAGGTTGGACACAGTTTCTCAATACTTCCCTCTCCCTGGTGTGGCATTTGAACTTGTACTTCATCATCTGCTTTGTGTTTCCAGTTTGAGAGAATAGAATGAGCAGGGTTAGGAAAAATGCTTGTATTCTCCCTAGTAATTATCTAGACTGGGATGGGATTGCAAGCCTATTCAAGAGCAACAGCAGAGGGTGGGCATTTAACAATACTTATTATACGCCCCTCCCCCACCCCCACCACACCCAGGCACTTGTGATTTACATTAAGTTTGTTTGCTTCTTCAAATCTGACTACCCCTTCAGTTATGAAGATTATGCCGAAATCTTGATTATAATGGAGAAAGGAAAAATCAGAGGGCCTGTTGAAACTTGGCCAACTGACATCAAGGGAAAGACATATGATGGGAATGAGACGTTGCAGATTCTGATTCCAAATGACCCTTGGAGACATGAGCAGGCCACTACTCAAGCCTGTGCCCAAGTCATCTGGTCTGGGAATTATCGTGACATTTGGTAAAATAGGCCTAGGACAGCAACTGGAGCTCCTTGGGAAGATAGTTCTGGATAAATTTAAACTATCTCTCTAGTGATCTCTTGAGAGGGAAGGATCAAATTTGGCAATGGGCGTGGTTGTTGCCTTATGTCACAACTGCGACATACCATGTAACATACCAAGTAGCCACCTTCTGAGAATGTCTTCCATGTGTCAGTTTCATCGCTTGCATTTATGTATTTGGATCATGAATGTGAAGGTGCAGTTGGTGATAATCATGGTAGAGAGAAGAAGAGACGGGGCAACAGAAATAGGACCCTATGGCCTGGAGCTAACTCTGTATTTAAATTTTGACCCTGCCCAGGCTAGATCGAATGTGACGCTGCTGAAGCTTCAGCTTCAGGCTCCCTTATTGTGTGGGCCCCTTCCAAGGCCCTGAAGTTGACTTTTAAAATTCCTCATTAGTACTTACTGTATTGGCTTCAGACCCCACAAATCCTGGAAACATTCCTCAACTTGGCGCTTACTAAGTGTGACCTTGGGCGAGTTCCTGAACTCCACTGAGCTTTTGGTTTTCTCATCTCAACTATGGAACTAAAAATCCCTAACCCTCATAAAGCCGTCGTGAGAAATAATTCAGATTATGCAGGGAAAGTGCCTCAGAGAGTGCCTGGCCCATAGTGGGATACCAATTAATGACAGCTGTTGCTATGGCATCACCATATGTGCCAGTCATCCTGCTCTCGGTCCCTCATACTCTTGGTCAGTTATGTTCCCGAAAGATCTAGGGTGAGGCAGATAACGAGACGCTAAGAAACTTCAGAGGGAGAAATCAACAGCCCAGAGCTTTGCTTCTCTTATTGATTTAATGTACAACCACAGCCCTGTCCATTCTGCTCCCTCGGATGCCTTCTTGGTGACAAGCCATGTTGAGAGGCATGGCCAAAGGGAAATCGATGCCACGGGCCTGTGTGCTAACGTACTGCCATATTATCGAATAACAACTGCCAGCACCAATATATTCTCTGCCAGTTCTTTTCCTTCCTACCTGCCAACTCATTCCTCTGACCCTGGCTCAGTCTGGCATCCATAGGATTTCATTATCCCTTTCAGCTGACGGCACCCAGGTTACAAAAATGTTTGGTGTTGAAGTTTTTGCTCTGGTGAGAGTGAAGGGGATATGAAAGAAACCGGAGTGACGAGAAGATGTTAAATCCTTCAGTTTTCAAATCTGAAACCCTCCTTCCAAAGACCGCTTCTGAGTAGCAGGACGGGTCACCCATGGACCGTAGCAAGCCTGAGGCCAGGGGACCCCGAGACCCAGGACCACTAACATCCCAGGCACTTGATGGATACCCAGTCCTCTAGCTGCTTTCTTCTCCTCTCCACCCCACCCTCCCTTTAAGATTTATTCTGTACCACACACAAATGCACTGGGTAAAATATGTGATGAGGAAACAAGGGGGAATAGTTCATAAATATTCTCAGCCATATGCAAACAATCTCAAATTTATTTTTCTCTTTTTTAAGGAGGAAAAAAAGCCACCCATTCCATGATCACTTCCAGATTCATTGAGGTTGATATTACATAAGACCCAATATTGTTTCCTCGTCATAGAGAAATAATGACTTGGAAACGGCAATTTGAGCTAAGAAAATAATATACTCTTACCAGGGCATGGAGGCTGAATGGGGACCAGAGAGCCAAGACTCTAGCTCAGTCTCCAAAGAGCTCTTGCAGGCACAGCTCAGCCCTGGTTAGCTGGCATGCTTTGTGCACCAGGGGTATTGACCTGCAAACAGCCATGCAGACTCCTTGGGGCTCGAAGTTCACTTGAAGCTGAGCAGATGTCACAGGTGGCCTTTGAAAGACGGGCACAGCTCTGTGGGCCTAGGTTGCTTTACTTTCAGTTTCTCATGCATAGTGTTTTCTCCGGCCTGTGAATTTGTGGACCAATAAAAACCAAGGGTCCACTTCTGACCGACATCTGCAATAGGGGTCTGCTCAGCTCTCCACAGAGTAGGAGATGGTGGCTACAGGAGGCTGGTCCCAGGCCGAGCACCTTCTGCCCAGCTGGGTTCCTCTCATTGCTCTACTCCTGTTCCCCAGCACCAGCAAGAAATACAGTTACTGAATTTCTGCATTGAACCGGGATGTTTATGCCAACCGTGATATAAATGTACAATGAAGGTCTTGAGATGGGAGTAAGTATTCATCCCCATTTAACAGATGAATTGAGTCTTGGACTTATCTAAGGTACATACACATGTGCAAGCCAACTGTTCAAATCACTCTTAGATGTACAAAGAAAATGTACCTGCTTTTTCTTTTAACTACTTTGGTTTCCTTACAGGCTCCCAACACCCGGGCGATGGGAAAACAACTTCAATTTAGTCCATTCTGGATTATGACTTAGTTTTATGTTATAATCTAAATAGTTCCTCTAGATAATTCCAGTCACTTTTGCATGAAAAAAAAAAATCATCGGTTTCTCAGAGAGCTTCCTTCCCCTCTGCTCTTCTTCCTGAGTAAACAGGGGTGGATGGGGGAAGAGGCTCTTGTCACTTCCTGGTACCTTGGAGACAGGAATCTTGGGTTTGTGGGGTAGACGTTTGGGAAAGCTAACACAAGTTCTGCGTCTCTTCCCACTTACACTGAACCTCCACTGCCTTCACGAGTAGCCATGGGGATGTTGACCCTAGGGTGGTGGTCAGAAGTGGACTGGGGGCCTCCCTCCAATACCCTGAGTAGAGGATGCCTGAGTAAAGTGCCACATGGAGCTTCCCAGACATGTCTCTAGTTCCCTGACCTCTGTGCCTCCCTCTTCTCCCCTGGGCAGGGAGGGGAGGGCTTTCCTTTACATTTGCCTATGTCAAGTAGTCCATCAACCACAGAGCAGCAAGTTTCCCTTGGAGCTGAGTCTTTCAGGCTTGGTTCTCAATGTGCTAAAGTTGAGAAATAAAGAAATTTAGAACATCTTTAGACAATAGTTTGGCCTGTAAGGCTATTGTCTTGTTGAAAGTGCTATTTTGAATATCAGAAGCTAAATATTGAATTCCTTTTTCTTCCTTGGAATTCCTCTATAGAAATCTTCATCTCTCATGGGACCTGTGGATGCCTAGGACAGATTAGAATCATG